CTATTTTGTAGTAATATGGGCATTCGCTCTTGTAGTTAAGTGTACATGGATTTATGCTTGTAGGTTTTTTGTATGGCGAAATAGTAAATTTGTTATTATTTGTCTTCATCAATATGTCAAGGAAGGGATTTTATTGGTAGTATTAAGTTCATACGTGAATTTAAGCACATAAACGTTTGGAAACGTTTTTGAAGTTTTTTCAGGGTAATACACACACACACACACACACACACACACACACATATATATATATATATATATATATATATATATATATATTACCCTGAAAATCCGTTTAGGTGAAACCTAGGTTGGTTGTTCCTGGCTCTTTAGGATTTATTTTATTTATTCCAGCCCTGCTTAGCGTATTGAGCACTCTACGTTTTAGCTTTGTTACTCGCTTGGGATTTTTTATTTGGAATAAAAACTTAAGGCACTGGACGATTTATTTCGCCCTGTTTGGATATTTCTAGATCTTTCTTTTTTTTTTCAATTCTTTCCTCGGGTACCAATTTGTTTTGATAGACTTACAAGTTGTGTTATCTGAGTTTTTTTCCAACCGAGTATTACGAGTAGTTTAATACATATATATATATATATATATATATATATTTATTAAAGACATTTTATTATGTTTAACGTTGTTATTTTATAGATACAAGTATTTAAGCAAATGCTCTGTTTATGATAAACAGTATTAAATAAAATTTACCGGCCTGAATGTCCGAGAAATTTTCATAGAAAATATTCGTTCTTTGACAGGATTCGAACCTGCATCCTATACGGAACCGTCATATACGCTGACGTGCCTTACCGCTAGGCTACAAAGAAGCGTTCGGTAGACAAGGTCGAATTTACTGCTTATAAACTCCAATTTTCCATGAATCTCGTACATTCATAACTGCTCTGGCGTATCGAATGTAAACAAATGACGTCATATATTAAGAAATGGACAAGGTCCGACAATTTATTTATTAAAGACATTTTATTATGTTTAACGTTGTTATTTATGTACGAGATTCATGGAAAATTGGAGTTTATAAGCAGTAAATTCGACCTTGTCTACCGAACGCTTCTTTGTAGCCTAGCGGTAATGCACGTCAGCGTATATGACGGTTCCGTATAGGATGCAGGTTCGAATCCTGTCAAAGAACGAATATTTTCTATGAAAATTTCTCGGACATTCAGGCCGGTAAATGTTATTTAATACTGTTTATCATAAACAGAGCATTTGCTTAAATACTTGTATCTATAAAATAACAACGTTAAACATAATAAAATGTCTTTAATAAATAAATTGTCGGACCTTGTCCATTTCTTAATATATATATATATATATATATATATATTCGTGCAGCGTTACAATTTTCGTACGCTTCCTTGGAGTAACGTCCATCGTAGACAATGGACGTGAGACAACTAATCGACAGTCGAAACAATAGTGTCTGTGCATCATAAAAATCTGATGCAATTACGGATGACGCAATATTTTTTCAAGGCAAAAAAAATTTTTCATCATACACCTGGAAAATAGATTCATATTACTGAACACCACTGGAAATGACCTAATCTGTGGAAAAAATAAAAATCGGTTACACCCTATCACTCCAGTGGGTCTCAAACTGACCGTATGGTGAAAGAAAGGAAACTAAAGCGGTTGCTTCAATTAATTTGCACAAGGGTGTGGCAGAGAATGCGGGTTCTTCAATGTGTCATAATGTTTAGCAAGCTTGTCTCGCTAGACCGATTACACGACTGAATAGGGAGTTCGATCCTCACTTGCTGTCCCATACTTTCGGATTTTCCACATATACGCTATGCTTAGAAAATTGCCATACAGCAGATGAAGAAGGGACTTAAGACAACAGAAATTTAAAAAGATGTTGAGAATAACACAAGCCGAGCATGTGATCAACGGTGAAGTTCTAGAGAAAATGGGAACAGAAGGGACTTAGTACATATAATGAGGAAAGATGGCTTGGAGAATTTGAGACTCGGAGGATATATTGAAGGCATGTAAGTGATGCAGAAAAGCACCAGGTAACTTAACTAAAAAGCGTCTATAAATAAATGATAGTGAAGGCTTTGGGGCATGCCAGCAGGAAGCTGTGAAGAGCCTTGATCGCCGACGTTATGAAGAGATGTGACACATTTAATTCTGATTGGAAGTTTTGTTATGTTGAAACTTGACTAATGCATGGAATAATAATGCAACACAAAATGTACTTAGAACAAAATGCATTGAAACAAGAAAGTGTACACAATATTTACATATAGTCTTTTGTATATTCTTGGGAAGACCGTTCCTGGAGAATGTGTTGACTTAGTCGCAGTCGGGCAGAGTCTCTGGATTGAATCTCTTGATTCCTTCCTCTCTTCCCGGTACCAACCATATTTATATGGTCGGTACTCCACTATGCAAATTAGGTGGATCCTACCACAACATGTTACATACGCTTGAGAAAGTTAGGAATACATGTCTTTTCACTCCAGTCCACTCCATGGATTAAAAAGTCGAGAGGCCTGAACTCTTCAGCCCTGTTCAGCAACAAAGAAATTCAAAAGCACATACTAGGTTTTTTAGTCTGTCTCCCCACCAAGACGAGTTGTGACACAATGTCATTTTTTAAGGTAGGGGCCCGAGCACGTAGACCCGGGCTAGGAACAAAAATTGCCCGAAGCCCTTGCAACCGTTGGATGTGCTGGTCTTGGTGCACCGATCCCTCTGTTTGGGGCAATGAGAGGGCGCGGTCCCAGGCAGCTATTCCCCAGCGCTGTGCACCTCTCAGTATAATTTTCCTCAATTGCGACTCTGTCCTTTGCCGGTATCGCCTCCGAATTCACTCTGCCCAAAGACAGAGACGCAACTGAGAGATGATAAATAATGCGTTAAATATAATCGAGAGAGCAGTTTACATACTGAAAACAACATACTATGCAGCTGACGAAAGGATTCTGTAGCTCACATTGGACCTATAATCCCGATCTGATTAATGCATTTCATGTAAAAAATTTTATTATACTAGAAATTTTTTGCAACATTCGTCAGCGTGATGAAATCCTGACAGTATTTAATCTTCTTGAAGTGTTCGCTAACATTTTTGTTAAGATATACAATCTCTACGTTTCGTTCAGTTTAGCAAACCAATCGATGAAATTTGAATAAGCTGATTTGTTTGGAAAGATACTTTGACAAAAACTCTACTTCGCGGTTTAATAATTTCTTTAATTTAATTTAATTTTATTGGACTTTTTCTTTTTTTCTTCTTCTTTTTTTTTTTTAAGCATTCCACCCTAAGCAAGGCGGGAAGCCACTAACACGCAAGGGGTTACAGAAAATTTGGAGCAAGATCAGATAGGAGTGATAGAGGAAAGGATGAAGAGAAGGATAGTGTATAGATCAAGGCATCTGGAGACGTCGATTGACATTACATTTGAATAGTTAGAGATTATAGCTATCAGGGGAGGGAGTTCCACAGGCGAGAAGTGCGAGACATGAAGCTGTTGGAGTAGAGACGGCTACATTTAACAGTTTCGACAATGAAAGGGTGTGAGCGAGATGCCAGCCTAGTTATTTTACAACTGAAATCAACCTATGAAACTGCAATTTTTAAAAGATTTTTTTGTAGCTGTTCATAATATGCATCCCTAATTTTGCTAATAATTTTTTTTTAGAAAAAATGCGTATTATACTTGGGGAATTATGGTAATTAGGGAATAATGTTTCAGTTGACCGAAGCTATGTTATTTGCATAGTTCCTTATATATGACTCTTCCTACCCCATCGTGACTACTTTTTAATTTTTTTTTTTTTTTTTTTTTTTTTTTGAGACAGTTCGAAATATACTCATTTTCAACTAGGTTGACCAAAGTAACTAATTTAGAAAGAAAAAAATCCAATGGATTATTTTAAGGGCATATTTTTTTTGGTTTTGTTTTTCTTAGTTTCAGAAGAAAACAAAAAAAAAGAAAAGAAACGAATGGATCGACAATCAATTAACTAATCAAGCCTCGTCAATCAGTCCTCATAAAGTGCAATTCTATCCTGTAACCACTGACCTTGCGCCGCCGGAAAAAACAAAACAAAAAAACAACAAAAAGCATAAATATGTGGAGCGTTGAAAGGTAATTAATTAATCGGTCGGTGTCCGACATAGTACTTTGATTTTTTTTTTCCCTCTCTCTTCTTGACACCGGATTGTTTTCTGCTTTCTTATAAGCCCCCACCGCCCCCTCCAGAATAAATACATAAAATAAAATAAATAAATAAATAAATAAAGATTGCAGAATTAAACGTCGAGTGTCAATTCGAGGAGACAATTGCTTCTATATTGTTTCTAAGGCTGCTTCAGCACAACTGATAAACGAAACAATTGCTCCAAATTGGAAATAAAAAATAGTAATATATACATATATATATATATATTTGTGTGTGTGTGTGTGTGTGTGTGTGTGTGTGTGTGTGTGTGTGTGTGTGTGTGTGTGTGTGTGTGTGTGTAAACTCCGAGGGAAATGGTAAATTCAGGGTCATTTTCTCTGATTGATGTATTTCTTTCTGGGATTGTTTTTTCTTTATCCACTTTTGTCGCTCTAGGTTGGCGGGGGTGGGTTGTAGGGGGTTTAGATCTGGCGCGTTCTTTGTTTGGGGAGGCGAAATTAACATTCCAAATAAACACGATATGAAAAATACAACATTCAAAGAGCTAGAAAAAACCTGCAAATAAACCGTAGAACGAAGTGGCGAATTAATGACAAAAGAAACAAATCGAAGGACATGAATATATATATATATATATATATATATATATATATATATATATATAGATAGATAGATAGATAGATAGATAGATAGATAGATAGATAGATAGATAGATACTGGTATGGATAGGGATAAAGATAGATTGATCCACTGATATAAACTCGCTCTCATATCTATCTATCTATTTATCTATCTATCTATCTATCTATCTATCTATCTCACTCGGTTCATATCTATCTATTTAGTACACAGATATGAATCGACTTAGATAGATAGATAGATAGAGAGATAGATAGATAGATAGATAGATAGATAGATAGATAGATAGATAGATGAACGGAGTGACAGATAGATAGCTACCTACCTCACCAGTTAGCTAGCTAGATAAACAGATAGATAATGGGGGTAGTGATAGATAGATAGATAGATAGATAGATAGATAGATAGATAGATAGATAGATAGATGTAAATATCGATATGAAATGTAAATTAGATATAAAATGTCTGTAAATTAGATAGATAGATAGATAGATAGATAGATATTGACCTATACTGAAATAGATAGATAGATAGACAGACAGATAAATAGATAGATATTGACCTATACTGAAATAGATAGATAGATAGATAGATAGATAGACATTGACCTATACTGAAATATAGGTCAATATCTATCTATTTATCTGTCTGTCTATCTATCTATCTATTTCAGTATAGGTCAATATCTATCTATTCATTCATCTATCATTCATCTATCTATTCATCTATCTATCTCACTTCGGTTCATATTATCTATTTAGTATATGAATCGACTTAGATAGATAGATAGATAGATAGATAGATAGATAGATAGATAGATAGATAGATGATGAACGGAGTGACAGATAGATAGCTACCTACCTCACCAGTTAGCTAGCTAGATAAACAGATAGATAATGGGGGTAGTGATAGATAGATTGATAGATAGATAGATGTAAACATCGATATGAAATGTAAATTAGATATAAAATGTCTGTAAATTAGATAGATAGATAGATAGATAGATAGATAGATATTGACCTATACTGAAATAGATAGATAGATAGACAGATAAATAGATAGATATTGACCTATACTGAAATAGATAGATAGATAGATAGATAGATAGATAGATAGATAGATAGATAGACAGATAGACATTGACCTATACTGAGATAGATAGATAGATAGATAGATAGATAGATAGATAGATAGATAGATAGATATTAACCTATACTGAAATTGATAGATAGATAGATATTGACCTATACTGAAATAGATAGATAGATAGATAGATATTGACCTATACCGAAATAGATAGATATAGATAGATATTGACCTATACTGAAATAGATAGATAGATAGATAGATAGATAGATAGATATTGACCTATACTGAAATTGATAGATAGATAGATATTGACCTATACTGAAATAGATAGATAGATAGATATAGATAGATAGATATTGACCTATACCGAAATAGATAGATATAGATAGATATTGACCTATACCGAAATAGATAGATAGATAGATAGATAGATAGATAGATAGATAGATAGATAGATAGATAGATAGATAGCTCGTGAAAAGAAAACAATTACTGAAGCGTAAATAAAAATCAAACAAACCTCCGATTTGACGAAAAAAAAATGACAAAAACAAAGCAAAGGCAAAGCATTATATACGTGTATTTATAACTTAATGGCTAGATATCTGTTTGAAAAAGAAAAAAGAAAAAAAAAGAAAAGAAAAGATTTTTATGGACAGCTGTGCAAAATGACGAAATCAATGCTGGAAAAATCGCACCAAGTCTGAATGAAACAAATGAACAACTCGCCTTTGCTGAGCGTTTTTTACTGGATTCTAGCGCGCCAGATTTTCTTCTCAAACAATGATGCCGTAATGAAGCAACATGACAAACCGTCAAGCGAACTGTTGCTCGTTTCTGATTGGCTAATTCATCGATAAAAGAAATGGCGCCCTTTATTTTTGTGCCATTAGAATACGTGGAACTTGCGCATGCGCATGCGCATGTGCACACTTACCAATCTGAGAAAAGGCTTGACTGCACTTGTTCTCTTCTCTGCCATCTCCCTTCAGGGAGTGTGCTGTCATGGCTCTCCACAACTTCCCAGACATCGAAGCTCTAATTATTAGTTGTTTCTTTACTATCCTTTCCAATTCCTGTTGTCATTCATTTACACAACATTGTTTCGGAAGGTAATCATGGCTCTCCATAACTTCCTATCCTTAGTAGCTCTAAATAATATTTGTCTCTTTATTATCCTTCTCAGTCCCTATTCCGCCATCCATTTACACAAGATTGTTGGGTAGGTAATCATGGCTCTGCACAACTTCCTATCGTTCGGAGAGCCGAGTTCGAATCCCTGTCGGCTTCGTGACATTCGCTTACATGCAAATACCCTTAAGAAATGTTTGAATCATCTAGCCACACCCAGCTATTGGTTGAATAGCAGGACAGACCGGATCCTATAACCTTGGTGGGCAACTAGCCTACCGCAGAAAGAAACGGCAGCATACTGCGGGAATATCCGCTGTCTAGTGAATCATGAATCGAGAGAGACATGATCGCCCAAACGTGTATAACGTGATGACACTTACAGACCGACTTCTTCTTTATGGCCACACTTTAAAAATTAGAGAGCAAGCAATGATATATTTCTAATAATTAACTGTTGCTATTAATTACAATAATGCAAGAGGATAGTTTAATTTCAGCCTGTGACGGAGAATTACACTGGTCAACACGATTTTTGGTTGATCAATCACTTTTATCCTTTAACTATGGAAGGAAACCAAACACATTGAGAGAATTTTGTCTTCCCAGTTAGAAAGAAACTCCAACTAAAGACATCCCAATTGAATGCACCTATTCCATTGTACATGATACTGCTGGACTTAAATAACATTGAACATGACAGACAATCAAGAAAGAGAAAATGTTTTACCATAGTTCTTATGTTCACGAAGGTTTTATTTCTGCTGTTAGTTTATTAAATGATTTGATGAAAATACTTGTTGGTGTTGGTATATTCATTAGTTTTATTTTTAAAGACTTAGGGTCTGATTGTCATTGCAAAAATAGTATTTCTCAATAAGCAAACGAATATTTGTTGGTTTAAATACAAATTAAGAGGTTTCTACAATTTTATTTTGAGAAATATTGCTAAACAAAGTATTAAGAAACAGGAAAATGTCATTAGAAGCAAAGAAGAGAGTACCGAGCTATTACATAACATCAGTCTTCATCTATGGCAGTGAATCCTGGACAACCTCATCGCAGATGAAACACTTGAAGAAACAGATATGTCGCTCTGCAGAAGGATGCTGAGAATACCATGGACCGAACATGGGTTTTACAGCAGACCCCACCTTCATCATTAACCATGTGGCAGGGCGTATTCAAGCGGTAAACTACATTTAAACATCATTACTTTAAAATATAATTAACTAATAATCATAATTTATTAATTATTATATAATTTATAATGATTAAATAATCTGTAATTATAATTCATAAATAAGTGTTTGATTTCAAAATTCGCTTAAATTTACCCCGATACCTGAAGAAGGTATGTGGGCACAATAGCCGAAACGTTGTGATAATAACAACAATGATGAGGATGTTAGTCCCACTACTGATAATGTAAACTGGCTGTACCCATAGAAATTCCACGGAGTTTTTATAACACTGGTTTTTATACTAAGTTACGAACATAAGGACTGTTTAATCCCCGTCAAAATTGACGTCAGAGGTAAATTACTTATCCATGCGATTATAATTACTCACGAGAAAATACATTTGACAGGAAATTATTATACACCACGTGGAGGTGGGAAAGGGTTTGAAAGATAGATTTACTTATCCAGACATATTTACAACGACATTTCGCACTTCTAAATATCCATCTTATTAATAAAAGCGAATGTATGTCACTTTGTCACACTTTTTCAATTTTACTTCTAGAGGCCGTTGCCTAACATATCATACCATTTTGGAATCACGTCGGATCCGGACCCTCAATCCTGAAATTTTGGATTCCCGAATTTTTATTACCGCGATTGTTTTCGGCTTCCACCATCTTGGTTTCTACTGATAAAAAAAAGTTAAAGGGAGACAACTCTCGAACTTATGTTCAACTGAAATAAAATCACTGTTCTCAAATAGTGTTTCAAAATAAAATTGTCCGTGTTTTCAACTTTCGTAGCCCAACATATCATAACATTGTTTTGCATTTTTCGATTTATTTTATTAATAAACAGTCGGCGACATCTATCCGAGATGAAATTTAAATTTTTATTGCATTATTTAAAAATTTTAACACACCACCAGATAGCTATTAATGTCAACAACTGAACACAAATAGTTATTAATTTAAAAAATTAGTAATTAATGTATAATATTATCCATAACTACATGTAAGAGTCGTTTTTGATAAAAGTTAAAAAAAATAAACAAAAATACGTAAACAATGTGTATATTGTCAAAAATTCCTTTTCCCACAATAAATGTATTTTTGCTATGTTATAATGTTTATTACCTAAACAATAATAATACTGAATAGCTTTTTAAATATTAAAGTATATTTAATCACATCTCCTTAATAACTGTCGCGACCTGTAAAAACAAGTGTGTTCTATTGAATTATTTTTATAAGTCAATTTATATTATTAAAAAATAAATTTCTTTACGATTTACTTTTATTAAAAATAATTAAAAACAAAAACTGGGCCATATTTTACGTAATGGCTCTAAATTTTGTTTAACCCTTAAAATACTTCATTCTGAAAGTTTCTTCCCGCGAATTACTGCTCGGTAGGCCTGACTCCCAAGAGGGTGTTTTCCCAATCGTTACAATCTTAACCTGCCTGGTATTGACAGTTATTTTCCTCTCTTATAAACATATTTTTTAAGCATTTCACCCGAAGCAAGGTGGGATGCTACTAGCACGCAAGGAGTTACAGAGAATAGGAACGACAGTAAAGAGGCATGAATGAGAAAAAGGATGAAGGGAATGATAAGGAATAGATCAAGGCATCTGAAGATGTCGATTGACATTACATTTGAATAGTTGGAGATTATATCTATCAGGGAAACAAGTAATAGGAAGGATTTGATTTGTATTGTTTTACGGCATATCAACCTCAATGGGGTATTTAATGCTGACAAAATTTTTATTGCTGGTAATTTTTTTTTTTTTTTAAATATATTGATGGTAATATTTGTTTTCAAAATTGTATTGCTGTTAATAATGTATTGCTGGTAATAATTTCTCTTCAAAAATTTATTGCTGGTAATAATTTTTACATTTTCATAGTGTTTTGACACAAGTTTGGGGGTTAACTATTTACCCATAGCTGGGATCCAAACAGGTGCTACCACCCCGGGTCAGGATGGACCTGGGGACACCAGCAATTAAGAGGCTTTGCTGCTGGATGTAGTTTATCGTCTTACCCAGGACGTAGATGTAGTTTATCTTCATACCCAGGACGGAGTAATAGGAAGGGAATTCCACAGGCGAGAGGTGCGAGGCATGAAGCTATTGGAGTAGAAGAGACGGCTACATTTAACCGTTTCCACAGTGAAAGGGTGGGATCGAGATGCCAGCCTAGCTGCACGTTTAAATTCTTGCAGTCAGGGAAGTAGCGAAAGTAGCCCGTCTTGAGCAATTACCGTCAAAGTTTACCTGTTAATGTAACCCTCTGCCAGGAATGGACTCCGGACCTTGTACTAGGTGAACCTAACTGTAATAAAAAAGGACTAGGAAGGGTTTAGGAAAACGTGGAGAAAAGGATTAAGGTAAAGAAAATGTGAGAAAATAAGCGATAAAGAATAAACACAAAGTGGGGGGGGGGCAGAAAGGTGGGGAATTAGGAAGATGAAGAAAATTAGGCGGGAAAATATGAGAAGAAAAATAATGGGAAAACAATCAAAAAGCTAAAAAGAAAAAACTATAAAACGATGCCGAGGGAAAACTAAACAGATGAAAATTAATACTAATTTGGAAGAAATCTAAAAATTAAAGAGATTAAAAAGGTGATCAATGATGGTAATGAAGAAAAGAGGCGAAATGCAGAGGAAAAATTGGAAATGAAAGAAAAGACGATGACGATAAAATAAAAGCAAAATACTCCTGGGAATGACGATAAACAACATCCACCACAGCAAGGCCTCTGATTGGAAGACTGGAGGTTTTAAAAAACACAGAAGTACCTCGTAATTATTTTTGTTCCAAAGTCCTTCCTGACCCCGGCGGGGGGGGGGGTAGCACATTTTAGGATCCAAGCTATGGGCAAATAATGACCCCGCCGCCCACACACTAAAAATATCAACCGGTCACTTTTATAGCAAAATGAAAATCAATACAGCACTAGAACTAGAATATGAAAATATTTTTTTAAATATAAAATATATAATATAAAAATATAAATAACATAAAATATATTAAAATATATAAAATATAAAAGTAATATATAATAAAATATATAAATTATATAATTATATATTATATAATTATATAATATGATATAATATTATATATTATAATATAATATAAATAATATATAATATAATTAATATAATATAATATAATAATATAATATAATATATTACTATATATTATATTATATAATTATATAAAAATATATAATTATGTAATTACATATTATATGATTTATATAATAAGATATAATATTATATAATATAATAATATAATATAAATAATATATATAATATAATATAATTAATATAATAATTTAATATAATATATTACTATATAATATAATATTATATAGTATATAATTATATAAAATATAATAAAATATATAGTTATGTAATTATATATTATATAATTATATAAGATATAATATTATACAATATAATAATATAATATAAATAATATATAATAAATATAATTAATATAGTAATTTAATATAATATATTACTATATAATATAATATTATAGTATATAATTATATAAAATATAATAAAATATATAGTTATGTAATTATATATTATATAATTATATAAGATATAATACTATACAATATAATAATATAATATAAATAATATATAATATAATATAATTAATATAATAATTTAATATAATATATTACTATATAATATAATATTATAGTATATAATTATATAAAATATAATAAAATATATAGTTATGTAATTATATATTATATAATTATATAAGATATAATACTATACAATATAATAATATAATATAAATAATATATAATATAATATAATTAATATAATAATTTAATATAATATATTACTATATAATATAATATTATAGTATATAATTATATAAAATATAATAAAATATATAGTTATGTAATTATATATTATATAATTATATAAGATATAATACTATACAATATAATAATATAATATAAATAATATATAATATAATATAATTAATATAATAATTTAATATAATATATTACTATATAATATAATATTATAGTATATAATTATATAAAATATAATAAAATATATAGTTATGTAATTATATATTATATAATTATATAAGATATAATACTATACAATATAATAATATAATATAAATAATATATAATATAATTAGTATAATATAACAATATAATATAATATATTACTATATAATATGATATAATATTACATTATATTATATAATTATATAAAATATAATAAAATATATGAAATGTAAAAATACGAGCAATACATTTTTTATGAAAACATTACCATCAATATATTTTTTTGTAGTGAAATTACCAGCAATACATATTATAATCTATATATAAATATATAGATTTATATATTATAAACTATATATCTAAAAGATTTTTTTTACTCTGAAAGTATAAAATTACGTACAAAATAATTATATCTCAGCATTAAATTATCCAAAATCGACACAAAAAGAAATAAGACCAACAGAATGGATAAAAAATGAAAAAAAAAGATGAAATTAACTTTTAAAAAGATCAGAAAAATTAATATAAAAAATAGAAGTTAAAGAAAAGATGAAAATATAAAAAAAGAAAATATATAAAGATGAATAGAATAGATGAAAAGATTAACATAAATAAAAAGACTAAAAGCAGTTAAAAAAAATGGAGAAAATTTAATAAAAAAAAAGCGAAGTATATAAAGAAAAGGTGAAAATATAAAAAGACGAACCGAATGGATAAAAAGATAAGAAAAAAGACAGTACAGCAGATGAAAAAATAGTACATCATTAAATAGACAATGACGATAAAGCAAAAGAGAAAAAATGTAAAAAGATGATAAGAGGGAATAAAAAGATGAAAATGAAGTAAACCAGACGAACTGAAATTTTAAGACGAAGATGAATAAAAAGATTTAGAAGTTACAGAAAAGATGAAACTCCATAAAAAATTAATAGAAAGAATAATAAAGATGAAGAAAAAAAATGATAAATTAAAAAGAATGGCTAAAAATATGACGGAAATGACGAAAAAGATGACGAGCAGATGTTAAGATGTAAAGAGAAAAGAATCGTTGCAAATTTTAGAAAATTAAGAAAATCGATTAAACAAAGTAGAAAAAGATTCTTTGTAAATGAAAAAAGTGGAGAAATCCAATAAAATGACGAAAAAAAAAGACAAGGTTGAAAATTGTAAAAAGATTAAGGAAATGAATAAAAAGATTTAAAAAAAAAACCCAGAAAACAAAGAGATGATGAAATTAGAGACCACGAATAAAAATTCAGGCGAAAAGATGAAGGACGACATGACAAAGAAAAGATGAAGAAAAAAAGATGAAGCAATGTAAAGAGATTTTACAAGGAAGTTGGGTAAATATAAAAGATGGGTTAAACTAGATAAAAATAACAAGGTAAGTATGTCAAGAAAAATTAAGAAAAAGCGAAAAAGTGCAAGAAAGGAAAAGACTGAAAACTCTAGATCGGAAATAAACGAAAGAAGAAAAAAAAAAGAAAGACCAAAGGAAAAGAAAGAAAATGAGTGAGAGAAAAAGAAAGAAGGAAAATAAACGAAAGAAGAAAAAAGAAAGACCAAAGAAAAGAAAAGAAAATGAATGAAAGAAAGAGAAAGAATGAAAATAAACGAATGAAGAAAAATAGAAAGATCAAAGGAAAAGAAAGAAAATAAATGAAAGAAAGAGAAAGAATGAAGATAAACGAACGAAGAAAAAAGAAAAAAACAAAGAAAAAGAAAGAAAATGAATGAAAGAAAGAGAAAGAAAGAGGAAAAAGAAAGAAAAGAAGAATCGTTTTTGAAATGTGCAGTTAACATCGAAACGAATTCAAGAAAATTTACAAAGTAAGAAAAATCCTGAGACGATAAATAATCCTGAAATCAAAGAAGCATAAAGGAAGAAAAAAATTGTTGCGATATGAAATTGAAAAAGAAACAAAAAGATGGCGACGAAAGAAGATACAAAGGAAGAGAAAGAGTGAATAGTTAAGGCAAAGTAATAAGGAAAAGGGTAGAGAATATTGTAATTAATGGATAATGAAAGGGAATAGTAAGAGGAAGAACGACTAATGATTATCAGGAGGAGGAGGAGAACGGCTGAAAGTAAAAAGGTAAAGGAGGAGGGGGAGGTGGAGGAAGGCGAAGAAGACTGACGAAGGAAAGAAAGAATATAAAGAATACGATGGCTGAAGAAGAAACCAAGTAAAAGAAAAATGAAGGAAAGACAGAGAAAAGAAGGAAAAAAGAAAGACCACAGAAAAAGAAAGAAAATGAATGAAAGAAAGAGAATTAAGGAAAAGAAACAAAAGAAAGATGACAAAAAATGAAGGAAAGAAAAAATAAGAAAGAAAAAGAATGACCAAAGGAAAAGAAAGAAAATGAATGAAAGAAATAAAGAGAAAGAAAGAAAAGAAAGGAGGAAACGAAATGAAACTAAGAAAAACGAGAAAATTGGAAAGTCAATAAAAAATGAAAGAAAGATAAAGGAAATGGAAGGAATAAGAAGAAATATAGAAAGGAAAAAGAAACGGAAAACGAGGAAAAAGAAAAAAAGAATGAGAGTAAAAGATAATGAAACGAAAAGAAAGAAAGAAAGAAAGAAAGAAAGAAAGAAAGAAAAGAGTGTCATTTGAAAGCCAATAAAAAGAAAATGAAAGAAAGAAAAAGGAGTAAAAGTAAATGAAAAGAAGAAAAGTAAGCGCAAAGAAAAAAAAAGTAATAGAAGAAAAAGAAAGAAAAAGAAGTAAAAGAAAATAAATAGCAGGAATAAAAAGAAAAAAGAAAGAAAGAAAAGTGTGAAAATTGGAGAGCAGAGGAAACAAAAATGAGCGAAAAAGGAAATGAAAGAAAGAAAAAAGTGCGAAAGAAAATATAGCGCAAATGAAAATAAAACAAAGAAAAAATAATGAAAGAACAAAAGGAAGAATAAGAAAATAAAGGCGAACGAAAGAAAAAGCAATATGAAGGGAAAGGAAAGACAGTAGACCAAACAACGAAAGAAAAATGAATGAAAGCATATAAAGAAAAAAAAATGAAGTAAGAGTAGGGAAAGAAAGACAAAGGAGAGATTAAGAAAAGAAAAAAAATAAAAGAAACGCAAAGAAAGAAGTAAACAAAAGAAATAATGAAAAAATGAAAGAAGGAAAGAATGGAAAATAAAATAAAAGAAAGAAAAATGAAAGAAAAATTAATATGAAAGTATGAAAAATAACAAAGAAGAAGAAAGAGCAAGAAAAGAAAAGAAAAACGCAAAATATGAAGCGAAAAAAAAAGAAGGAAGGAAAATGAAAGAAAAAACGAAAAAAAGAAAATTAAGGGAAAAAGAAAAAGAATGTAAGAAAAAAGAAAGAAAGAAAAACTGAAAAGGAAAGAAAAAGAATGAAATAAAAAAGAAAGAAAGTTCATGGGAAAAAAAGAAAAAAGAAAATGCAAGAAAAAGAATGAAAGAAAAAGAAAGAAAGAAAAACTGAAAAGGAAAGAAAAAGAATGAAAGAAAAAGAAAGAAAGTTCATGGGAAAAAAGAAAATGAAAGAAAAAATGTAAGAAAAAGAAAGAAAAACTGAAAAGGCAAGAAAAAGAAAGAATGAAATAAAAAAAGAAGGAAAGTTCATGGGACAAAGAAAGAAAAAAGAAAATGAAAGAAATAAATATGAAAAATAAAGATGAAAAAAAAATTTAAAACGGAAAAAAGAAAGAAAATACAACAAAAAACTGAGAATTAAAATCAAAAGTGGGAGTTTTTTTTTTAAATCACAAAAGAAGTGTAGGAGGCGGAGGAACAGACGACACGGATCAAGTATTTTACGTTGGCGTTTGTGGTGCACGGTGATGTTGCCAGCGTCCAGATGAAGTGAGACGCGATGAAGTGGTTACTGAAAGAGAACAAGAGGCGGGAAATAGAAAAAAGAAATGGCGGGGGGAAGTCGGGTGGAGGGGGGTTTGCTTTAAAAAAAGGAAAGAAAAAGAAACGCAATCAGAAGTCGGAAGACTGGATGTGACAGTCTGACTTCAAACGTCACGTCACACGCCATGTCGGCGGATGACTAATACGACGTCACATATGCGCACAGACGCGTTTAATCATGACAGTCGTTCGCTGTACCTAGAGATCGACGAAGAAGATGCGGAGAGCAAGAGAGGACGAATGGAGAGCAAGAAAGGACGAGTGGGGAGCAATAGAGGACGAGTAAAGAGCAAGGGAGGACGGGGTGAGAGCAAGAGAGGACGAGTGGAGAGCAAGAGAAGACGGGCGAAGAGCAAGAGAGGACGAGTGGAGAGCAAGAAAGGACGAGTGGGTAGCAATAGAGGACGAGTAAAGAGCAAGAGAGAACGGGGTGAGAGCAAGAGAGGACGAGTGGAGAGCAAGAGAAGACGGGCGGAGAGCAAGAGAGGACGAGTGGAGAGCAAGAGAAGACGGGGTGAGAGCAAGAGAGGACGAGTGGAGAGCAAGAAAGGACGAGTGGGTAGCAATAGAGGACGAGTAAAGAGCAAGAGAGAACGGGCGGAGAGTAAGAGAGGACGAGTGGAGAGCAAGAGAGAACGGGGTGAGAGCAAGAGAAGACGGGGGGAGAGCAAGAGGGAACGGGCGGAGAGCAAAAGAGGACGAGAAGAGCAAGAGAAGACGGGCGGAGAGCAAGAGAGAACGGGCGGAGAGCAAGAGAGACGGGGTGAGAGCAAGAGAGGACGAGTGGAGAGCAAGAAAAGACGGGCGGAGAGCAAGAGTGGAGAGCAAGAGAAGACGGGGAGAGCAAGAGAGAACGGGCGGAGAGCAAGAGAGGACGGGGTGAGAGCAAGAGAGGACGAGTGGAGAGCAAGAGAGGACGAGTGGAGAGCAAGAGAAGACGGGCGGAGAGCAAGAGAGGGCGAGTGGAGAGCAAGAGAGAACGGGTGGAGAGGGAGGACTTTTTGGGGAAGAAAAGAAAAAAATATATAGAGAGAAAAGAGACAAAATCCCCCCCCCGTCTCTTTTTTTAATTTTTTAGTTGGACGGGTGACACGTATTGACTTGACGTTTCCATACGAGCGTTTTAATTCTGGTAACACGCCGAGTAAGTAGAACAAGTCGTGTACAGGAACGGAATGAAAAGTGTAGTAAGTAGACACGGTGAAAAATTGGCGGGCAAAAAAACTGAAAAAAAAACCAAAAAAGCAAGAGAGAGATTGTATAGCGCCGAGATTTGCACACGTATTTCGTGTTGCTGGAGAACCAGCACAGGAAGGCCACGCTGTGACCGAACTTTTTTTTAATATAAAGATTTCAATCTCTTACCTTTTTGATTTACATTTATTTCTACCCTCATTATCATCATCATCATTTTCCGCCATCTTTTTTTTCAACGACCTTTTTTTGTTATTAACAACGTTCATAGTAGTAATGAATATCACTAGAGACAATGCATCTAATCCTGTCACCATATTCAACGAACTGTAATACAACAATATAATGATATATATTAATATAATATAATTAATATATCATTAATATAATATATTACTATATAATATAATATAATTGTTATGGGATCTTACCCATAATAATAATAATGGACTATTCCATACTTAATAAATACTGCGCCTCAGGAGTAGGCAAGGAGACAGTAGTTCAAGTCGAGTCAAGAGTCGAGTCAGAGGCAGTCCGAAACAGAGTCGCGTTCAGACAATTACTGCAAGACATTGGAATAGTGATACTGGTCGAGACTACAATGTTCTCTCTACTAAACCTGATTGTTCATACTAACACTTCTACTTCTCTGTATATATTCCTGTTTGTATCTGTGTTATTCCATACCTGTGTTCGCGTTCTTCTTTATTGGTTCTACCTTGGACTATCACCGTGGTACAAGGAACCCGACCATAACAATAATTATATAAAATATATAAAATATAAAAATATGAAAATATAAGCAATACATTTTTTATAAAAAACAACAATACATTTTTGTAGTGAAATTACTACCAATACATTTTATAATCTACAAACTATATATCTAAAAGAAATACCCGCAGAACTTTCACTAATTGCAATGAACTGATGTTACCTAAGGGAGTCCTCTTGACTACAGCGCTTAAACTCGGTCCAGATCTCAAGTGGATCTTGGACATACGATCCCTCGCTAAAGATGCTAGAAAAATGGTCAGTTTCCTGTACGACTCCAGTAAGTACCTGACTTCTGTTATATTTTTCCAAGAGCCAAAAATGGAGTACCGCTGCCATATATTGGCAGGAGCCGCCCAGTCTTCGCTTCACAATCTCGAGTCTCCCAGTCCTTGTCGGTGACGATTTATTTTCCACTATACAATCCCTTTCCTCACAGACGCCGGAAGCCTCTCGATACTCTTTACATTATTTACATTATTCGAACTATTGTCCTCGTCTTTGTCGCCATAACAAGGTTTTAGCCGTTGTACGCTCCGGCCTTCTTCAGGTGGTTGGAATTTCGAACTGAACCCTTTATTTCGCTCACTGTTTGATGGATATCAGTTATTAGTTATCTCCTGCTAATTTCCCTCTGAAAGTTCTCCACTGCCTTAACCGAATATTGAACTCACACACTTTGGGTCCTATCACTGGATCTAACCAACGCCTTTATCCACTGTGCCATGTGTTCTTGAGGACATCTGGGTATGAATTTCTGGGTATTATATTCAGCAACCATTTTTACCAGTGCTCATATTGCAATTTTTGCTGTTATTACTGATGAGAACCCCTATAGAGGAGAACATGACTAAAGCTGCGGAAAGGAATATAAAGGAGAGACAGGCCGCCCCCTCAAGGTAAGGCTTCAAGAACACCAGAAAGCTGTAACGCGAGGGGAAGTAGAAAAATCAGGCGTGGCTGACCACATATAGAGAGAGAAGGGAGATCACCGCCCTCTGTGGGATCATGTTGAGATCATAGACAAGGAACACCATTGGAAAATTCGTAAACTTAAGGAATCAGCACATATGCTAGGCCACAAAAATCTCCTGAGCCGACCAAGCATAGAAATAAATACAATATGGGAACCAGTAATAAGGAGTGCCAGAGAAAAGCAATGATAACAACAAAAAGTTGCAATATGAGCTCTGGTAAAAACATGCAATGATAACAGTCCAATACTCGGTTAAGGCAGTGGAGAACTTTCAGAGAAGATGACTAATAATTGACATGCATCAAACAGTCTACAGACTCTAACACTCTTTAGTTCCACCAGCTCTAACCTTCACGGCTAAGACCTGCCATGCCAAGCACATTGTAGCGAATCAACCTCATTCCCTTCGTATTTCTTTAGTGAGAAGTAAGTTCCAATCGAGCATGTTCTTCCCACGATCCTATTCCGTGTGGAACCGACTACCAAGAGAATGCTTCCCAATAACTTTAATCTTAACCTCTTAAAATCTACGGTTAGCCGTTACCTTCCACACACATCCGCCTAATCTGTGACTCTTAACCTGTAACCTTGTACCTCGAGTGATCTCTGGGCCTTGTACATGGTTCAAACTAAAAAGAATACCTCCTACATAAGGGTAGGACATTAGCTAGCTGAAGACACCGTTACAGCTAAAATCTTACCGTTATGTAGAAATTTGTGTCTATATTTCAGATATGAGGTATTATGTACACTATTTACATTATTCTGACTATTGTCTTCATCTTTGTCGCCATATTTATTACAACGTTTCGGCCTTTCAGTATCTGTCTTTATTTCAGATATGAGGTATTATGTACACTATTTACATTATTCCGACTATTGTCCTCATCTTTGTTGCCATATTTATTACCACGTTTCGGCCCTTCAGTATTTGTCTATATTGCTGAGATGAGGTATTATGTACACTATTTACATTATTCTGACTATTGTCCTCATATTTGTCGCCATATTTATTACCACGTTTCGGCCCTTCAGTATTTGTCTATATTGCTGAGATGAGGTATTATGTACACTATTTACATTATTCCGACTATTGTCCTCATCTTTGTTGCCATATTTATTACCACGTTTCGGCCCTTCAGTATTTGTCTATATTGCTGAGATGAGGTATTATGTACACTATTTACATTATTCGGACTATTGTCCTCATATTTGTCGCCATATTTATTACAACGTTTCGGCCTTTCAGTATCTGTCTATATTTCAGATATGAGGTATTATGTACACTATTTACATTATTCTGACTATTGTCCTCATCTTTGTCGCCATATTTATTACAACGTTTCGGCCCTTCAGTATCTGTCTATATTTCTGAGATGAGGTATTATGTACACTATTTACATTATTCGGACTATTGTCCTCATCTTTTTGCCATATTTATTACAACGTTTCGGCCGTTGTACGCTCCGGCCTTCATCAGGTGGTTGGAATGTCGAACTGAACCCTTTATTTCGTTCAATGGGGTAGACTGTTCTAGTTCCACATGCCATGTCTAATGGATGTCAGCTATCAGTCAGAATAATGTAAATAGTGCATGTAGAAATTGTTTCAGCCTCATCCGGTAAAAGCTGTTTCATTATAAGGAAACATTCGATATTCATTGATCGAGCAGTTGAATTTTTTTTTTAATCTTTTTCTTTAAAATAATTTTGAGGGGAGTAGGTTTCTCCAGTCATGTAGCTGTTATTGCTCTTTTCATTACTGATAAGGTGTTTCCTTCCCTGCATTTTGTTTGTGGTCGTGTGGAATGTCAGTATATTGATGCATGTAATGGATAACACATGTAACTCATTATTCTGAGTTACATGTGGTATCCATTTAAGTTGTCGCTGCATTTAGTAGTTCTCAAGTGATGCTGTTTCTTTTATCTGGTACAGTTCTTTGCGTGTGGTTCTGTAGCGCCAATCGATGAGGTTTGCAGATAGATGGTCCTTGCTGGAAGCCATTTTTAACCACCGAACTAAGAAAGCGGTTCTATGCAGCCGACATTTTTCAGTCTTTCTCAACTTTTTTCATTTTTTTTTTAAACTCCCGGGTGCAATTGTCTTACTTATTATAAAACGCAGATTTTGTGTGTGTGTGTGTGTGTGTGTGTGTGTGTGTGTGTGTGTGTGTGTGTGTGTGTGTGTGTGTGTGCCTGTACGTTTATATATTGGATCGGATTTCCTACATTTTTCAACCGATTTCAACAAAACTTCACAGGACTGCGTAAAATTACCTTGCGGTGGCTCTGAGAGCGCCAAAAATTGGAAAAACACAATTATTTTTGCACGAAACCAATTTGAAAATACGATTCTGTCGTCATATCGAGTTATACTTATTATAAAAACCCAGGTTGTGTGTGTGTGTGTGTGTGTGTGTGTGTGTGTGTGTGTGTGTGTGTGTGTGTGTGTGTGTGTGTTCGTTTATATATGGGATCGGATTTTCTACATTTTTCAACCAATTTCAACAAAACTTCACTTTTTTCTTGGCAGGTAGTGTTTCTTATTGTCTTGCACACTTTTTTCTTTATTTTTAACATTCAGAATGCTTTAAAAATTCCATTTACAAGACAATTGTTTATAATAAAATTCTATTCAATCGGTAGACTCATAACGATTGAAAATAATGTTTTTGTTTGAATTTGGGTTTGATCAATTCGTAAAAAAAAAAAAAAACTAATTAAGTCATGCGTGTCCATCAACCTTAAACAATAATCTTTGTCAATTTTATTTTTCAGTCTTTATGATGGTCGATACTTGATCTATCTCTTACTGTTACATTCCCGGGCAACGCCGGGCTCTCCTGCTAGTATAATAACTAAAACTCTGATGTGCTCTTTAAATTTTAATCAAGAAAAACTAGTCATAAAATTTAAAAAGAAGTCATCTGAAATGAGAATTTATTTTCAGGACATTACATTCGTAGGTCATTAGCTAGCTGAAGACACCGTTGCAGATCTTACCATTATGTAGAAGTTGTTTCAGCCTCACCCTGTATAAGCTGTTTCCTTATAAGGAAACATTCAGTATCTACTGATCGAGCAGTTAGGACTACTTGAATGATTTTTTTTTTTTACATTATTTACATTATTCGGTCTATTGTCCTCATCTTTGTCGCCATATTTATTACAACGTTTCGGTCGTTGTACGCTCCGGCCTTCTTCAGGTGGTTGGAATGTCGAACTGAACCCTTTATTTCGCTCACTGGAGTAGACTGTTCTAGTTCCACGTGCCATGTTTTTAATGGATGTCAGTTATCAGTTATTTCCTGTTAATTTCCCTCTGAAAGTTCTCCACTGCCTAAACCGGGTATTGAACTCACACAGTGTGTGTATGAATATGTCTCACTAAACTTGACTTTTGTGAAAATGCAGATCCAAAAACTTCACAAGAATATGCTTTTTCACCAGTGTGCGTATGCATATGATTGGCCATACTTGACTTCTGCAAAAATTCACCGGTTATCGTAATTGCT